TATATATATACAGGATGTCCCAGGGTTACCGCACCTACTAATGACAAATTCTAATTTTCTAACTAAACTCTAATTCTTGAGATCATTTTAAGATGATTTCCCTCAGCAAAAATATCGAGGTATCAATAATTTCCGTGTTATAAGCGATAAAAAAAAATAAGGGCTGTTTGCAAATTAAACTTTGTAGAGATGAGTTAAAACTACATTCTTTAATTTCAGATAGAGTTTACTTTAATAGAGAGAGAGAAAGAGAATTTTAATTTAAGGCTTATAGTTACAAAAATATATGATGAAAAAAATTGGAAACTTGCAAAAAATGATGATTTCTCTCTACATTTTCGCTGAGGAAAAATTGTCTCCAAATGATCTCAAGAATCTGCCATTAGCAGATGGTGCGGTAACCCTGGGACACCCTGTATATATATTTACACATCTATCGAAGATCTTTTTGACAAATCAATTCTTTGTTTAATATTGTCGGGATGTAAAAATAAAGAAGAGAAAGATTTTATTTTCATTATTTATCTTGGATATGATTTCTAATAAATTTTTTTTTAAATCTATAATTCTACAAAAGAAAATTTATCTACGTATGTATCAATTCTAATTTATATAATATATATTCTTGATTTTAACTTTATTATATAAAATGCGGAGGTCTAAGCATATTTGTGACTTACGGTTGACTCTCCATCGTTGTCATTTCCTTGGCAGCAATCTCGTCGTCGACAATATCCATCGCATAAACTTTGCTTGACATAAACTTGGAGGCCATGGCAGTGTTCGTAAGACCGGGACATATTACCAAAACACGTATGCCCGTCTTTTCGTAGAAAGTCTGCGAAAAAATATGTGAAACTTTATTAAAGTTATATATTTCGAGCGTGTCGTGTAGCGACAATCCAAAATATAAAATAATAATAGCGCAATTAAAATAATTTGATAAGAAAAGAGGGAATAAAAATAGATAAATTTTCAGATTTGTTATTTATTTACATTTTTACCTGTAACGATAAAGTAAAACCGACGATGGCGAACTGCGTCCCGGCATAAATCGGCGCGATCGGATTGCTTTGCAAGCCAACTATCGATGACATGTTAACGATAGTGCCGCCCTTTCCGCCCTTGTGCTTTCCCATATGATTCAGACCCAATATCGTGCCGCGTACAATCCCTTTCTGATTATAAAAATGATAACGCGTTAAGAATGTCTGGATATAACAAATTTCCAATAAAACAATAAAAGATATGACTTACATAATTAACATCAACCATCGGCTCCCATTCCGCGTCGTTCATTATTCCGGCACTATTGATAACAATATCCAATATACCAAATGATTCTATCGCCTTGTCGAAGCAAGCTGCAAATTGTAAATGTTAAGCAAAAGTGCTTCAATTAATTAAAAAGAAAATGTTTCTTTATTTTATTTTAAAATAATTTATCGCACAAATAAACGATTTTATATAACATCATATCCCTAACAACACACATGTTCAAAAAACGTCCAGAGAACATCCAGAGGATATTTAATATCCTCTGGATCATTTAAAATAATTGATCATAAATAACTGACTCGTAATAAAATTATTGATATTATTTATATATAATGTATCTAATTATTAATTAAAATATTTTTTTTAATTACAGTTTAGCAATCGATTAATACAGTACCCGTAAATTCGTCGGCATTCACCACATCTCCGACGAGGAAAATAGCATGGTCTGCGCCGAATTCTTTATTCAATTCCGCAACAGTAGTTTCGCCATTCGAGTCGGGCAAATCTACAATTGCGACGGCCTGCAAAATATAGCAATTATTAATTTAATAATACATTTCTTTCTGCATTTCTATATTTTAAACATTATTTGAAATTTTCATTATCTTCCATTTACGCTTATATTTGCATCGCGCGCGAATTATTTATTCTATTATTCTAATTTCGAAGATATGAGATAATTTGCAAGAAATATATTTATTATTATTATTATTATATTATATATATAATTAGCAGTTTGTACTATGTTATATTTAATACATTTGAAGTTATTATATTTTATTTTTAATACATTCGCTAAATTACCTTCGCTCCACTTCGAAGCAATTCCCGAGCGGTGCAATAACCGATCCCGTTGGCTCCACCGGTGATAAGCACGGTTTTCTCCTGAATCTCCATTACTGACGCGTCCTCTTCTTTTCGAGACGATGAATGCAAATCGCGATTTTCGCGTGAATCTCGATTCGGATCGATCTTGTCAGATACTGATCCGCAAATGAATCTGTCAGGTATCGTTGAAGAGGAGCCGCAGATGTTGATATTCGAGATGTCGACCGTACGTGATAGAATATCAGATACGGATAATGTGAACCCACTCTCGAGGTAAACAAGATCGGATTTGCGCCGATAGGCAAGAAGCAGCGAGAACAAAATCATTTGATGCTGCACATGGAACGGGCGTTGAATAATTCGAAACCTGAATGTGAGAGAAATAGCACATAAATCCATTTCTTAACGTTGTATAAGATGTCACTATTATTGTGGATAGGATTATCATTACAGGCGTATTGAATAATGCAAAAAAATACCGTACCAGAAATAAAATAGGGGATCGGATTTATATAAAAGAATTTTATTACTTGGTTATTTTGAAATTTTAGTTATATTATTGTGTCGTAATCTGTTAATTAAGGGGTCTTCCTAGTTTGACGCTCTGAAAAAAAGTGATTTTGGGGAATTTTTTTAAAGAAAAGTATAAAACATATTAATTCCAAACTTTCCATATTTATTAAGTAACATTTCAAGTATATTCTACAATTTTTTTAAATACAAATATTTATTTGTTTCGGAGTTGTAATAATCCAACCAGGGTACCTAAAAAAAAATTGTTGTTCATGACGGACATGATTCCAGCCGTTGTAGTCATATGAAATAAAAAAACCAAAAAGATTCTTAATCTGTATGAGTGTACTATCGCGTAAAATGGAATAAAAAAAAAAATATATTGAAAAATAAAAAAATGGCAGCGTCTCAAAAAAAAATTTCGTTTTTCACCAAAAAATTGGTTAGTTTTGTAAGTCGCAAAATTTGAATTTTACAATTAATTCTAGTTCACACGATAACCACACTCATACAGATTAAGAATCTTTTTGGTTTTTTTTTATTTCAGATGACTATAACGGCTGTAATTATGTCCGCCATTTTTTTTTTTTAGACATCTTGGACTACCATAACTCCGAAACAAACAAATATTTTTATTTGAAAAAATTTCAGGATGTACTTGAAATGTTACTTAATAAACGTGGAAAGTTTGGAATTAATATGTTTTATACTTTTCTTTAAAAAAATTCCCAAATATCGCCTTTATTTTCAGAGCGTCAAACTAGGAAGACCCCTTAACTTATAATATTAGCCCATCTTTTTTATATCAAAGAGATTTTGCGGGGGAAAGATAGGAAAATAGATAGTTCTCGTATAAAACAATGCAAATTCGGTCTGGTTTATTAAAAGGCAATGCATTTTATTGGCAAGGCTAGCAACATACATACCGTATAACACGTAACAAAAACAAAATCAACAGTCGCCACTAATCGCGTCATCGATCGAAAGCTACAAAGAATTATTACGGGCGATATATAACTCGAACAAAACCCATTAGCTAGCTAGATATCTGACTGATGTATCGAATTTTGTATCTGAGTTTTGCAACTCGATGCAATCGCGCATCATACAAGTCTTCTCCCGACATCATTATGTTACATGTCTAATATCGAGAAACGTGATCGGCGTC